AGCCGGTGTCACGCTGAGACTTGGGGAAGAAGAGTGAGCACATCTGCGTGTGGGACCGACTTGAATCATCGCAGGCTCGGGGGGAGACACTGATAGGCGGCCTCCAGGATGGCCCCCATTCTCACCCCGGTGTGATTTCCATCCGTTGCACATGGGCTGTACTTAGCGATGGCTTCTAATGAACGGGAGAAGGCAGAAGTGACCCTGTGTCCCTGAGACTGGGTCTTAGAAGGCAACGTAGCACCGCCTGGGCTCCCAACTCACCCTCGGTAGGGGACGCCAGCGGCCGTGCCGGGCGCTACAGAGAGGGCCACGTGGCGACGAGCGGAGCCCCCTGGCCGACAGCCGCATAAGCGAGCTTGAAAGCTCCGGTCAAGCCTTGAGATGACCATGGCCCTGGCTGACACCGTGACCGCAGCCCTGTGAGAAACCGGGGGTCGGGACCACCAGCTAAGCGGCTCGTGCACTTCTGACCCAGGAAACCATGGGATAATAAGTACGTGTGGTTTGAAGCTGCTAAGTTTTAAGGTAGTTTCTATGCAACAACAAATACCTAATACAGAAGGCTCCTTCCTCCGGCCGTGTCCCCCCCAGCGCCCTCTGTCGACAAAGCTCAGCATCACGCCGGGGGCCCGCGGGGAGCCCGGGTCTATCAGCGCCGAGCAAGGCGACGAGGGTGGATTCGGAACTGAATCAACAAGATGACAGCAGTGGAGTGGCTGTAGGTGAAAACAAACGCAAGCTACAAAACATTGTGCATGGCGTGCTATCTTTTGTGGAGGAAAGGCTGGGAAATTATGTGTGTCTTTGCTTAATTTTGCACAACGTAACACTGGAATGATACATCTAGAAACTAGTGAAAACGGTTACCTGCGGAGCCGCTAGGAGTGACATGAGACTAGAACGAATGGAGGCGGCAGTGGGATTTTCTTCAAATGCCTTCTTACGTGGTTTTGACTTTGGAACCATGTACTTTATATGCCCCCAGATAGAATTAAACCAAAAAAGAAAAAAAAAAAAAAAAAAAAAGGCAAGCCCTAACTGGTTTTGCCGTATCCACCGTCAATCACCAAGGGCCAGCTGACCTAACTTAGAGGTGGCATGGCTTCCCGAAAGGTGCAGAGCCAGGCGGGGGACACCGCCTCGGAAGGGCAGGTTCCGGGTTAGGGCACACGCACGTGGGCTGAACCAGAGTCGACTCTATGACGGCATCTCCTTCGTGGTCGGAATACACGTGTGGAAACGAAGGGGCAGAAGTGGGGAGCGGCTCCCTCACTTTGACACCCCGAATCCCCGCGCAGAAATTTTCCTTTCTCTCCCAGCAGCTTTGAGCTCTGCAGGTTCTGGGGTCTTCCTTCCCAGAGGGAAGAGAGCAAAGATTCTGCTCAATTGCAGGCGACTTTCACTGGCCGCCTGGGGCTCTTTATTGCCACTGAACTAGCAGGAAGCAAGAGGGTGTGTTCCACGCGCTGCAGGGATGAACCCCAGTTACCAGGGGGGCCGGGGTGCTGCTACGCAGCGGGGCAAGAAGGGCTGCAACCCAGGGGCTCTCTGGGGGCGCCTCTTGGTACTTCCACCCCCCACAGCAATGGTTAATGGGGAGCTACCGCAACCAACACAGGCACGACACTCGCCACGCCACGCCATCTAGGAATGATGGCTCGTCAGTCCACTCTGAGCGGCTGAAGTTTGGCCCGCGGGCGGGAGAAACGGAATCTGCAGCGGAAGAAGGAAGCCCTGGTCCCAAACGCAGCCTCGCAATCAATTTTAAAAATGAGGACTGCGCTTAGCTTTGTGCATCTTCTCTTTCCCTGTCATCTGTCGGTGTTTGTTTGCCTCTGCGACTTCCGTCTTCACTCTCCTCCTTCCCATTTTGTTTTTCCATTTTATTTACAAGTTGTTGGAGGTGACCGTTACAATTCTGCCTTTAGGTCACAGAATTTTCGGTGAAGCGTTGACCATTTGAGGGTCATTAAGATGGCCCACAATGGATACGAGGCCCGCTTCTACCGTGCAGCTCCTCACTCCGGGGGAGAAGGTGAGAAACTTGAGTTCTCTCAAGAGTGCCTGTATGTTGGGGCGCCTGGGTGGCTTAGTCGGTTAAGCATCCAACTTCGGCTCAGGTCATGATCTCGCGGTTCGTGGGTTCGAGCCCCGCGTCGGGCTCTGTGCTGACAGCTCAGAGCCTAGAGCCTGTTTCAGATTCTGTGTCTCCCTCTCTCTCTGACCCTCCCCCGCTCACGCTGTCTCTCTCTCTCTCTCTCCTAGAAATTAAAAAAAAAAAAATTAAAAAAAAAAAGAGTGCTTGTATGTTGATAGCTGGAAACACAGAGCTGTCTTGCTGTACAGAAGTCCAAATGCGTGTAGGAAGGTGCACGTGGAAGGCCGAGGAGCCAGAGGGGGTGAACCACAGGAGTTACTAGAATAAACAACCCTAAAATGTGTATGGAGCCATAAAAGACCCCACATGGCCAAAGTAACTTGAAAAATAAAAATAAAACCCAAGATATCACAGATTTCATGTTATACTAAAAAGCTGTAGTAATCCAAACAGTATGTTAGTGGCACAAAAATAGACACATAGATCAACGGAATGGGATATAAAGCCTCCAAACAAACCCCTGGTTATATGGTCAATTAACTCTGACAAAGAAGGCAAGAACATCCAATAGGAAAAAGATCGTCTCTTCAACAAACGGTGCTGGGAAAACCGGACAGCTCTACGCAGAAGAAGGAAACCGGCCATACACAATATGTGCACACCACACGCAAAGATAAACTCAAAATGGATTAAGGACCGAAACGTGAGACCAAAATGTGAGACCCGAAACCCTAAAAATCCTAGAAAAGAGCCCGGGCAGTAATGTCTCTGACATTGGCCATAACAACATCTTTCTAGATAGGCCTCCTGAGGCAAGGAAAACTAAAGCAAAATCAACAACAACAACAAAACCACAGAACCAAACAAACAAAAAACAAAACCAAAAAACAAAACTCTTGGGACTACATCAAAATAAAAAGCTTCTGCACGGCAAAGGAAACAATCAACAAGACGAAAAGACAACGTACTGAATGAGAAAAGTTATTTGCAAATAATATATCCCATAAAGGGATATCCCATATCCAAAAATATATGAGGACCGTCTATAACTCAACACCAAAAAAAGCAAATAATCCAACTAAAACATGGGCAAAAGACATGAACAGACACTTCTCCAAAGAGGACATCCAGATGGCCAACAGACACATGCGAACATGCTCAGCGTCCCTCCTCATCGGGGAAATGCAAATCAAAACCACACTGAGATACCACCTCACGCCGGTCAGAGCGGCTAAAATTAAAAACTCAAGAGGCAACACGTGTTGGCAAGGATGTGGAGAAAAAGGAACCTTCGTGCACTGTTGGTGGGGATGCAAGGTGGTGCAGCCACTGCGGAAAACAGTATGACGCTCCCCCCAAAAATTAACACTAGAACTACTTTATGACCCAGGAATCGTACTACTGGGTATTTACCGAAAGAATATGAAACCACCAACGCACCTCTGTGTTTATTGCAGCATTATTTACAATAGTCAAGTTATGGAAAGAGCCCAAATGTCCACTGACTGATGGATAGAGAAGATGTGGTGTGTATATAGAAGGGAATGTTATTACTATTGTATTATCCATTATAACGGAATGGAGGATGAAATCTTGTCATTTGGAAACACAGAGATGGATCTAGAGAGTATAAAGTGAAATACGTCAGAGAAAGACAAACACCGTATTATTTCACTCGTACGTAGAGTTTAAGAAACAGAACAAAAGAGCAACGGAGAACAAAACAAGAAACAGACTCTTCACCGCAGAGTACAAACTGACGGTTACTGGGGGGGTGGGGGTGGGCTCCCGGGAGCCGCATGGCCTTGCCTCGTCACTGCACTGTGTACCTGCCACTAGCAACACCGACAACTGCGCGGGAATTCAAACTCCACACGTTTCCTTTCTTTCAACAGTCGCCCCTTCTTCTTTTGTGTGTTCAAGCTTTCCTTTCACCTTGACCTGACCGGTCAGCTCTCAGTTTGTCTACTGTGATAATTTTCTAATAATTTGCTATTATTTGCTTTTTCTGCCTCGTTTCCTTTGTTCTCTTCCTAATTTTGAGTCTGCTGTTTCTTTTCAGTCTCTCATTTTTTTTTTTTTTTATTGAGGTAATTTTCCCTGGATTCAGATAAAGGTTTTGTCATATTTAAAGAAATCCTACTGTTTTAGTTTGTACTTGTTTGTCTTTCGATCGGAGGGTAATCTAATAGAGAATTAATTACATTTCCAGTTGGAAGGGACTTTTTGATTACGTAATTAATTTCTGGTTTACTGCACTGTGATTAGAGAATACGCATCATTTCTACCTTATGGAATACATTAGAGTGTTCTCTGTGGCTTAATATACGGCCAACTTCCGTGAATGTTCCATTTGTGCTTGAAAAGAAGGCACTTTTCTGTTTGCAGGACGCGCGGTTCGGTGTCTACCCGGAGGGGACGCTTACGGCTGTCCTGCTTGGATTCGGGAGGCGTGTCGACTTGCCACCCGTGTGCCTTCTGCGGATCGCTGTGTTTTATTTGATGCACAGACCCTCCTAGCCGCGTCTTCATCGGGGATCGTGGCTTTTAGCATTAAGTCACCTCATCTCACTTCTTGTTTTCGAGGCGGAATTCCGCCTTGTCAGATACCGAGACCGTGATTTCTCCCCGCTGCCATTTTTGGTTTGCATGTCCATGTCCGTGTCCTCGTGTTGAGCCTTTCTGGATTTGTATGTCAGGTGAGCCCGGAGTGGACCCGCATGGGGTTGCCTGGGGCTTGCTCTGTGACCTGGGGCACACTGACCACGCTAGCGTTCTATGCCCTTACCTTGACTCCGTGAACGGCAGGGTATACTTTCCAGTCCTTTGACTCTGGGGCTGGGCGTGGACCTGACACGGTCACCTGCGTTGTAGCGGCCATGGCCCGAGGGGAAGGGGGGACACGGGGCAGACCCAGACCCGACCCGAAGCTCAGAGCCGAGCCCAGGCGAGGTCAGCGGAGCTCTGATCAGTCTGCAGACGCCCGGGTGAGGAATGAATACTTGCTGTTTAATGCTGCCGACTTCTGGGGTTATTCGCCACAGAGAATGATTATGGTGACAGCTGAGCGGCACAGGAGCCAATCTTAGTCTTCCTATTGGGGATCCGAGCATATTTACGTTTCTTGGTACAAGTGACCCATTTGGTACTTGCGCTATTTATGTTTTACGGTCTCTGGGTGTATCATGTTTACACTTAGCGTGCATCCTTCGCACGAAGGTCTAGTCTCTTCTTCCCCCTCCCCACCTTCTTTGCTTTGTTTTGTGGCTGCGTTTAGGAAGGCTCGCGTTGTTGTTCGAGAGATTATCCTGCTAACGGCGCCTTCAAATAATGTTCTTCGTCCCCCTTTCTCCTTCTGAGCCCTTTACTCTTTGGCTTCCCCGGGTTTCAATGACATCGTCTAGTTCTCCTGCTTTTAACAAGGCAGCAGTGGCTAAGCTTAGTCCACTCTTTCTCCCCGCCCTTCTCCTCTCATTAACACGCTGTGCGCTTTCTGCTTGCTTGGCACGTACCACGGGGTGGCGTTCTTCCATCCTTACCCGTTATATTTTAGTCCTAGATCTACACTTCAGTAAATCATCATCAGTCCTTTTGCCCAAATTTGTCAAATCTCTTGGTCGGATCTCTTGGTTTGTCTGAAAAGATCCCTCCCGGAAGGACTCGTAAGTAGTATATTCACTCTTATGTGTTCAAAATCAGTTTGAAGCTCCTTGTCTACGCCCTGGAAGCCTGAGAGCCAGCCTGGCCGGACACCAAGTCCTTGCCTCTCGCGCCTTTTCCTGAGTCTCTTTAAAATGCTGCTCCTCTGTTAATCTTGACTTCCATGGTATTTTAAGAACCCTGAGGCCAACGTGACTTTCCTTTCTTTGTATCCGACCTGGTTTCATGCCTGCGGGCCCAGCGGATTTCTTCTTTATCTTCAAAGTTCACTGCTTTCCCCCGGGATATGTCTCTCAGTATTGATAACTCTGGGTCTGCTTTTTTCCAAAGACATAGTGGCACCTTTCAGGATGAAGGCTCGGCTCCTCATTACAGGACATCGTCTTTACTTACAGCGTTACGTCTCAGTCCTATTTCACTATTTGGTTTCTCTTCTCCCAGGACTTCACTTACATGAGCGTTAGTCACTCTGTTCCCAGCTGTTACATTTACGCTTCCTCTCTGGTCTCTAACGCCTCCGACAGTTTCCTTTTATTGGGTCCTTTCATTTCCATCCTCTGTGTCTGTTTCCACACTTTTCTGTGGTATCTCTTCTCCTTTGGGCACGTGAGATACTTTTTTCTTCAGCTTTCTCCCCGAGTTCAGCGAGCTACTATTGTACGTGCTACTTGTCTGTATTTATTCTGAGCTCGGGGGTCCCGCTTTCACAGGCGCTGCTTGTTCATATGTAATCAGTGATGGGGATGTTGTTACAATTTCCCCGTGCTTTTGGCTGTTTATCCGGATTGCATGTATTGTGTATTTTTATTTGCTAAACAGTTTTCCCAGTGTTCTTCTGAAAGTACTACGTACGAATGTTCTCCGTTTGAACTGCATTTCCTTCAGTAAGACAATTTTTTTAAATTTTTTTTAATGTTTTATTTATTTCTAGGAGAGAGAGAGAGAGAGAGAGAGAGAGACAGCGTGAGCAGGGGAGGGTCCGAGAGAGAGGGAGACACAGACTCTGAAACAGGCTCCAGGCTCCGAGCTGGCTGTCAGCACAGAGCCCGACGCGGGGCTCGAACCCACGAACCGCGAGATCGTGACCCGAGCGAAAGTCGGACGCTCAACCGACTAAGCCACCCAGGCGCCCCAATAAGACAATCTTTTAAGGGCCCGTCTTCTGATTCTTTGACAGCATCTTGTTTGACGAGAGGCCTAATCTTAGCTCCTTCTCCCCCTTCACCGCCAGGCCTCCAAGGGGAATCCGCTTCCAAGGTGGCCTCTTCCCCAGCAGGCGTCTTCTGTCCCCTCTGGTTCCACACCTTCCCGTATCTTCTCCTGGACTCCGCCGGTCACAGCTCTTCCCTCGGCATTTCTCCAAGCAGCGTGGGTCTCTCTCCTGATGGGCGCGAGCCCTAGATGTGACCCGTCTCTACCAAAAATTACGTTCTCTCTTTTCCATGCAGTGTCTGCCTGGATCTGTGTACTTTGGTTTGGGACTCGATCGGCCCCAGTGAAGAGGCAGGCCGTAGGCCGGGTCGGCCTCTCCCCGGCACGCTGGCCCCCGTTCCCCAGCTCATTCTTAGCCACTAACTTGCGTCATGCATTTTGGCACTAAATTCCATCTTTGGTCCCGCGGCGTTCATCCGTTCACTCAACAGACCTTTACGGCCATTCTGCGTGTGCCACGGGTTGAGGTTACGGCAGTGTCCAAGCACCGCCCGCTGTGCTGACCTCGTGGCCGTCGCCGTCACAGAGCAGTCACACCGCTGAGTACACGACTGTGGGGACGCCCCTCACGGGGAGCGATGGCTGAACTAGCGCTCCTTAGATGAAGTAGGCGCCGACCGGACAAAGACGCGAGGAAAAGCATCCCACCGTCGGGGGAAGGGAGGGAACACACCTGCACAGGCTCAGCGACAGGAGGAGACACAGGCCGTCGGGGCATCTGAAAGGCTGGAGAGCCAGGGCGACGGGGCCGGACCACGCAGGCCCCGCAAAGGCCACGTTAAGGACCTTTTCCTTTAGTCTTTTAACCACAAGGTCAAGAGGAAGCCATTGACTTGGCTTTAATACCGCGCCTTGCGGAGACCCCTCCGATGCCCGCGGAGGATGGGTCTGTGACACCCACGTGGCTGGGAGGCTGGTCGGGGAGCTCTCGGCCGGGGGGGGGGGTGTGCAGAGGGGAATCAACAGGGTTTGTAGTCAGAATGGACTTGGAAAGTCAAGGAAACGGACAGGTGTCAAGAACAATTCTTTTTAAAATTTATTTATTTATTTTGAGGGATTGGGGGAGGGGCAGAGAGAGAAGGAGAGGGAGAGAGTCCCAAGCAGGCTCCGCGCCATCAGCGCAGAGCCCGACACGGGGCTGAATCTCATGAACCATGAGATCATGATCTGAGCCGAGAGGAAGAGGTGGAGGCCTGACCGAGTGAGCCACCCAGGCGCCCCAGGAGGGTGACACGCTAAGATCAGCCAGTGGTTTTGCCGTGACCCCCCCGCCCCCCCTTGCAGCCATCAGTTTGTTTGTAGACGCGCCTTAGAAGTGGGGGGGAGGGGTCACTCCTGAGCTGGTCCTCAGACACAGAGAAGTGGATCAGACACAGCCCTGTCCCCAAGGGGCTCACGATGTGGCGGGTGGGGGGGACCACACAAAACCCCCAGAATCATCGCTTCGAAGCACTGGCAGCCGGCGAGCGCAGCCCCGGGCATCGGGGCATCGGACAACCCCGAGCTCGGGGTTTTAGGGAACGGCAGTAGCCGGCGTCACCCGCGCAAGCGCCCTGAGCAGCTGGGAAAGGAATGGACACCCAGCGGTGGAAATCAGAGCACATCTTTTGATCCCAACTCACTTCTCTCTGAAGCGTGGGCCACAGCTAACTGTGGTCACTAAAATTAACCTTTTTTTGTCATCCACAAATTAGATCTGCCGGGTTTACTTCACTTAATGGGAAGAAACGGAAACCTGAAGGTAGTGATCCCTGGAGCTGAATCTGGTTCCAGGAAAGGAGACATCATACAAGCCAGTCACGGTCTCCAGGTAAAGCAGAATTCACCTTCCTGGGTTCCTTATTTTTATTTTTATTACAGGGAGAGAGCGAGCGAGCGAGCGAGCGAGCATGCAAGCGGGGGAGAGGGACAGAGGGAGAGAGAATCCCAAGCAGGCTCCACGCTCAGTGTGAGGCCTGACGGGGGCTCGATCCCACAGCCTTGGGATCGTGACCTGAGCCAAAGTCAAGAGTCAGATGCTGGCTTTCCTGGTTTTTTTGGACACTGCGTTAGCCACCACGTGGGAAAATGGGCTGCTTTGACCTTGTAAAATAATCTCTCCTCGGGGCGCCGGGGGGGCTCAGTCGGTTGAGCGGCCGACTTCGGCTCAGGCCGTGATCTCGCGGTGCGCGGGTTCGAGCCCCGCGTCGGGCTCTGTGCTGACGGCTCAGGGCCTGGAGCTGCTTCGGATTCTGTGTCTCCCTCCCTCTCTGACCCTCCCCTGCTCGCGCTGTCTCTCTCTCAAAAAAAAACAAAACAAAAAAGCACCTAAAAATCAAGTACCTTTGAAGGCGTCCATGTGACGTGTACCTTTGCGTCTTACACGGCACCTCGGTTAAAGCCAGGCCCACGCCTTCCAGGGAAGCTGTGCCCCCCGCCGCCGTGACGAGGGCGGGGTGAGCGGCTCACCTGGACGGCTCTCTGTGTGCTCAATAGGGAAACAGTAAAAACCCAAGAGTTTTCAAGGATTTATTTGATTTCTCCACATGATCACAGCTACGGTTTTACATCAAGAGAGTCTCTTACTGCTCACAAACAGAATGCGTATTAAGACGAAAGCGCTCCTCTCCCGCCCCCAGTCACACGGCGGGTGCCCGGCCTCTGCGAGGAACAGGTCTCTCGAAGCCGGTGGTCGGCCTGCAGCCCAGAGCGGACGCTGGCCTTGCAGACGAGAAGTGGACGGCAGCTCCCCAGAGGTGACGGGGCCGCGCGGGGTCCCGGTGCGCCCCGCCTCCTGCCGCCCCTTCCCACCGCCCCCACTTCACCCGGTCCCTCTCGACATCTGTTTCCCGGATTATCGTTGTTACTGGAGGTACTTTACAAAATTAGCCGGTTTTCAGGCAGGAAGAGTGATGACATCTTACAACGAAACCGCAGGATGCATGCTTGCCTGGGGGGGGGCACAGCCGCTCGGGGGCGCTGGCTCAACACCTACGTCACGGGTACACATCGGCTGTCTTTTCAGCTCGTTTTAAAGACACACGGGAGGCTTCTTCTGCATGCAGCGCGAGTCGGGACGGTCCCTCTACACCGGGCGACGACGACGTTTGTAAGCAAGATGTGCACACGGTAGTGGGTGAGCTTTATTTTTACACGGTTGTACAATTCATTCGTAAACTTAAAAAAAATACAAACACATGATTTGACTGTTGTCCCAGAAAAGATTTCTGCGATGCTGCCAGCCGCTTCCTCTACGCCTGCGCCCGGAGGGGGGCGGGGGTGCACGGCGGGCCCCCACGGCCGTGACCCTGCGGCAGGCTGGGGTCCGGATCGGTCCCCCGGGGGCGACGCCGCGGGGCTGGGGGTGGGGAGAGCAACCCGTCCGCAGCCCCCGCTCCCCAAGTGCGCTTCCGGGCAGCGTGGCCCCAGCCTCCTTAATGGGGAACGCACCTTCTGGAAACACTTCCCGTGGTTACGTTCGTAAAAATCAAACAAAGAATGATGAAGCCTCACTGACCCGAGCCCAACACACCGTACGAGGCTGGAAACATGGGGAGAAATGGAATTTGTTCGAGAACATCCCCCTTCCGCTAGATCCGGCCCTGTGGCGCCCGGACAACGCCCCTGGGCACACGGATGGCGGTTCCGGAGGTAGGGTTCCGAGCGGCTGTGCAGGACAGCGATGCAGAGGGCGCCCCCCCCCCCCATGGGCTCCGCCGTCCACTCGTTTCCATTAGCGGCCACCCCTTCGGAACGGGCAACCTTGTGCCAAACAGCCTGCATCTTTTCTGGAACAGCCTTGCGTTTACAGGTAGACTCTACTATTGGTACAGAGGGGGAAGAAAAGCCGACATATTTAATATGTTATCACTTTACTTCAACTATTTGTCAACAGTAACACTGATATAGTTTGCAAATACACAATACAGAGAGTGTGGCCTCGCACGACTGACGCCGGGTGGCATGCAGTACGATTCGACTTCTCCCGGTCGGAACGACATCCTTCAAACTGCAAGGCAGAGAAGGCCTCGGGGAGCCCGACTCTGCAGGGAACCCAAGAATTTAGGAGCCGGTGGAAGCGGGGAGCCTCCCGCCAGCGTGGCCTGGCCCAAATCAGACACAGCCGTGCTTTGTATACTCGTCTCCTTCCGAGCAGGCGCCCGGGAGAGAAACAGGCACGGTGGGAAGATAAAGGCGGGCAGGTCACAGTCACACTTCTTCCAAAAAAAAAAAAGAAAAAAAACCACAAACAAAAAAGGCTAAACTCTAGATTGCTGTATTTGCTCTCTGTGGAGATTAACAAAGTGCTTGGTTTGCAGATTTGCTGGTATGGTGGCCTGGATGACTGGACAAAGGGGCGGGTGGGGAGCGGGGCGCACGACCCCCGGCCGGCCCACCGGGTGGGCTCCCCTCGGTCGTCCTGCCGTCTGGCCACGGCGCGCCACGCTGTCCACGGAGCGCGGCGCCCGCGGCCCCCAGAGTCCGGCAGTGGCTTCGCCCTTTCTGAAAGGGCTCCCTCGGCCGGGGCGGGGCCCGCGGGGCAGTCCTCCGGTCCCGCGGCTTAGGAGCACAGCACGGGCGGCTGCGGTGGCTGGAGAGGCTGAAACTACAAAGTACGGCCCGTGGGTGACTCAGTCACAGACGCGGACGCGAGCGGCGCCCGGCCCCGGGGGAGCGGACGGTCACCACGACACGGAAGCGACAAGAGCGCAGCAGTCACGTGACGCCGGGCAGCTGACGGGGCCGTGAGACGGCAGCGGGGGCCTCGCTGGGCGGCGAGGGCCGGCGCTCACCGGCGGGGCGGGGGGGGGGGTGTCGCAGGGGCCGCGGGGATGACATGGGTGGTACCAGCACACGGCCACATGGAGTCACGATGATGGCGGCTACCACTCAGAAAACAACACGGGAAACACACACACCGCCCGGGCCACTACATGCGAGAATCAGCCTCCGGGTTCAGAGCGGTTCTGGGCGGAAACTCGCTGGGGGCGGGGGGGGGGGGCGGGGGGGGGCGCCTGTGGCAGTCGGGACGGGACGAGTTAGTCATGGTGCCGGGGAGGCGAGGACGGGGGCCGGCCGCTCTCACCTTGCAGATGAGCACTTGTGCCGTGGATGGGGGCCCCCGGGAGGCCTCTGAATGAGTGTGCATCAAATAAATGCATATAAAAGAAATATGGATCATGGAAATTCACAGTTATCGCAGCCGTTAAAGTGTCTAAGAGTCTGTGTGACCAATATCCTCAGACAAGCGGTCCCCGACCAGCTGTCCTGAGGCTACTGTAGCGTTTACTGCAATTGTATCTATTTGCTTACCTGAAACAACAGAGCAGTTTATAATACTGACTACTTATGATAGTTTTCTGTTAATAAAATAAGGATTTGTACAAAGCAATATTGGACTCTTTTAAACAGTTAGATGCTATGTTACTTGGCACAGTTAGTGATGATTCGCATAAAGGTTTTAGCCAGTCCTGGAGGGACTTCTCTTCTTTTTATGAAAATATGGAAGCATCTGAATTTGTTCCTAGCATTTACGTTTTTGGTTTACTCTCTCACACATTCATGTAAGATACACTCTCCCTAGCGGGTAAGTGGGGCTCCTTGTAAAGCCTCTATCGCTAGTTCTGTGGACTGAGACGTTTCCGCTCACACACAAGTGCTACCTATACAGTATGTATATATATTTATATATTTATATATTTATATTATATAAAGTTTACTTACGTATTTTCATCAACCATGTCAGGTCTACTTAATTTTTTGCCCATTGTCAATAAAAGAGCAATAAATGCAGCAAGTTTGGGGGTTTTTTTTGTTTTGTTTTGCTCTGTCTCTGGTTTTTGTGTCTCCTTTCTTCTCCTCCTAGGCTGGGTTCTCATACGCGTGTACAGTTAGGGAGCAGAGCGGAGGGCTGCTTTGGGGGGAGTGGGGGGCAGTTCACCGTCTACGTGGCCGGTGGCACCGTTTTCGAGGCTGATGGTGGCCGAGGCCCAGCCCTTGGGCTGTCGTGGACCCGGACACCAACGCTAAGGGACACCGGGTTCTGTTCCCTGCGTCACGAGCCCCGTGGGCTCGGAGGGCTCGGTCCAGGCCGTGGGGAGCAGAGGGAGGGGTGGAAACAGAGGTGCCCTGGGTCTGGCCTGAGGCCGGCCGCGCCTCTCCGTGTGGTGTGCGGATGCTCCGGGGACGTCTGGGACCCGGCCCAGGCTGTCTACACAATTGTGCTGATGCCGCTAGGTTTGGCCTTGCTGCTGGTGGGGGGCGGCGGGGCGGGGGGCTGCCCGTGGTGGTGCGCCGCGTGGCCGTGGCCCGGGTGGCCGGCATGGGCCGAGGGCAGCGGTGGGTGGCTGTGCACGTGGGCCCCGTAGGGGGGGTGCCCCCCGTGGGGGCCGTGGTGGTACTGGTGTGCGTGCTGGACGTGCTGCGGGGGGTGGTGGTGGTGGTGGTGGTGGTAGGGGGGCGGGTTCTGCTGCAGGTGGCAGTACTGGGCGTGGTGCGCGTGCACCTGGGCCTGCGTGGGGCCCTCGGCAGGCGCCTGGTGATGGCCGGCCGCGGCGTGCGGAGCGTGGGGCAGGCCCGGTGGGTGGGGGGGCGGCTGGGGAGGGGCCGAGGGCGGGTGGGCCTGGGGAGGGGGCTTCCCTCTCTTACTCCCAAATAAGGAGCCCAGGAGGGAGGATGAGTTAGGCATAGTCTGGTGTGGGCGAGATGGACACTCTCGTGTTGATGTAGCTCTCCGGCGCATGTGAGGACTGCTAATGATGGACCCCTAAAAAGGAAATTCATAGAAATCAAAATTAAAAGACCTTAAAGCACTTCTGCCAGAATGACTCTTTTTTTTTTTTTTTTAAATGTAAAAAGTTCACCCACTGACTGCTAAGCCTTAGCTCAACTCTCTGGCTGCAGAGGGCGGGGCTGGGTGGGCTGGCGGGGCACCACCTCCGCTCTCGCTCCTGGGGGCCGCAGGGACCCAGGCTGGCTCTCCACCGAGAGGCGGGGACGGGGCTGGGGTGAGGGGTCCTGTCTGGTCAAAGCAGCAGCAGCGGCACAAGTGTGACTTCTGGTCTCGTCCTGATACGGAAGGCGGCCTGCGCTTTCGGATCAGAACGGCCGGCCCGGGTGCCTGGGAGCAGCGTGTGCTGCGTGCAGGAGTCGGCTGGGCCGGTGCGGCCCCCGCTCCTGCTGACGCTGCGCCGTCTGCTCTGCCCGGGTGGGCTCCCGGCTCTCTGGGAGGCTGGTGGTGGGGCGGGGGGCTGCCTGGGCGTTTCGCTGCGGCTACGCTACCGCAAACCAAACAAGGAAAAAGAAGGAAACAAAAAGGTCTGGAAGCTGAGGCTACGATGTGAACAGTAACATAGAAATGGTTGGCGGATGAATGAAATCTCATGAAATCCACACTGAAGTTTCCTCCTCTCACGGCCTTCCTCCCCCGAGCTGGCTAAGCGATTCCGGGACGCCCTGACTGCAGACACACAGCGATCGAAACTCCAGGAAGGAAGCGATGGGGATGGCGGAGCGTGGAGGTCAAGTGACGGGCAGACCCCTCCTGCCCCCGACGGTGCGCGCGGAGGGCGCGTGGGTGCCAGGCGGGCGGCCCCGGGGTGGGGGCGGGGGGGAGAGTGCCGGGAAGCCGGGGTGTTAACCATGCTCGGGGGCCACGGGGGACGGGGTTAAGCGGGAACTAAAACACAGAATCCAGACCCCCCCCCGTGGGACCGGCCCAAACAAGCAGTGAGAGGCACGGGCGATTCTAGAAGGAGGGGCTGGCATGCACCGGGCTGAGGCAGGCACGGGGGACGGGCGGCTGCGGCCTCTGTGCAGCGGGAGGGGCGGGAGAGCAAAACGGGGAGAAAAAAAAAAAGACAACAGATATAAACCGAGGATCGGGAGAAGGCAACACAGCACAGCCAGCTGGACGGAGGCGCTTCCTACTTACTTCCACATTGCTGTCTAGCGATCCCGCACTGCTGCGCCGCCCTCGCTTCCCTGCCCAGAACATGCAATACCACAGGTTAGACACGGACGCGAGGCCGGGCGCCGCCTGCCTGGCCCGGGGACGGTCGGAGGGCTGGCTCCGTGGGGGAGCCCGCGGCGGGGCAGCCACGGGTTTAAAAAAAAAAAAAAAAAAAAGGGAGGGGGTGGGTTTGAAAAAAAAAATCTTTTTCAACCAGCCTCGACTCCACAGCCCTCCTCCTGGGCTGGCGGTCTGGTGGGGGAGGGGCGGGGCGCCTCCAGGGGGCCTGGGCCGCGCACGGGGGGCCCCCCCGACGCCCTGCGGCCCCAGCCGCCTGCCAACAGGGGCGGCGGCGCCAATGGCTCAAAAACAAGAAAATGGGGTCCTGTGCGGCCCTGACGGCGTGGATTTCATCCGCATGTGTACACGCATGTGCATACGTACACATACGCCCCCCTCGCAGGCAGGGCGGGGTGGGTGGGTGGGAGGAAACTAAGCTGGGTGTCCTGCCTTTTCCGCCTGGGGAGCTCAGACGCACTGGCGCCCTGGAGCCTGCCGTTTGGTTTGTGCAGTGCCCTGGCCGGGAGCGGGAGACGGGGTCAGGGGCTGCGGGGAGAGCCCGGGGTCCTGCTTCCCTTCCGTGGGCACCGGCCTTCCGGATCCCCCAAGTGCTCTGCAGCCGTCAGCGCTGCCTGCCAGTGGCTCTTTACTACCCGGGCCCCCAGGCACGTGGCGCACAGTAGGCACTCCATACACGCCGGCTGTGTTAGAGGAAGGCTGTGCCTTTCTGATTGCACAGAACCGCGGGCGGCCCTCTCCCGGATTCTTGCAGGACCCGGGGCTGGCGGGAGCGTGGGTGCCCAGGCTCCGGGGTCCGGTCCCTGACCAGCCCTCAGGAAGGCAGGTGGGAAGAGGCGACAGAGGAGGGGCCTCCTAGCTGATGTTCTGGAGACTTCCACCCGTGCAGCCCTGGCAGGAGCCAGCATGGTGGTTCTTGGGCAAGCCCCACCCGCGGCACCGCAGGACAGGCGCCCCGGAGCGCCCCGGGGGGGGGGGGGCGGGGGGCTCAGGCTCGCGGACGGGCCGCCAACTCCGCAGCGAGCGGGAGCCGCACCCAGGCCCGCTGTCCTCCCCCGGGGCTGGGAGCTCGGCCGAGCTGCCTTCCGGGCGGGACGCGGGCTGAGCCCAGGGGCCTGGACGACGGGAAGGCCGCGACGCGCCTCTCGGGGCCCGGACCCCGGCCTGTGCAGCGCAGGGAGCGGGTCTGGGGGTCCTTCAGGCCGTGTCACCGTGGCATCCGCGTGCGCTGGGACAGAGCCTCCGTCCCGGGCATACAACAGCGGGACTCGGGGGCCGTCCGGTCCCTCTGCCTGGCCCGCCGACCCCACGCCGAGGCCCAGCCGGGAGCTTTGCTCGACTCTGGCGCGTGAGAGGGCCGCTCGCTCGGGACAGGGCCACAGAGATCAGTGCTCTCCGCCCCTGCTGAGGGCCTGGGAGAAGCACACAGGACCCGGCCCCTTACTCCCCGCTGGAAGAAAGATGGGGTCACAGGGGCGCCTGGGGGGCTCAGCCGGTGAAGCGTCCGACTTCGGCTCAGGCCATGATCTCGCGGTTGGTGGGTTCGAGCCCCGCGTCGGGCTCTGTGCTGACAGCTCAGCCTGGAACCTGCTTCGGATTCTGTCTCCCTCTCTCTCTGCCCCTCCCCCGCTCACGCTCTGTCTCTCAAAAATAAACATTAAAAAAATTTTTCAAAAGAAAGACAGGGTCACGTAGCGTCATCTTCCAGCTGGTACGAGAAGACAGGCTGACCTTCTTCCCTTCCCCTTCTGTCCCAACGCCAGGGTCCAGCGACAGAGAGCAGGTCGAGGCTCTTTGGCTGCAGAGGTAAGCCCCACCGGCACGCCTTTCTTCACCACCATTCCTGCATCTGTGAAATGGGTACGCGCCCTCCTCTGAGTAGGACGGACACCAGCACCAGACGCTCGGCATCAGGCGGAAGCGCTAGGTCCGCTCTCCGGCGCCTGTGGGCCTAGAGGACCCCTGACTGAGCCAGGGACAGAGTGAGGCCGGCCCCCCTCCGGTGCCCAGCAGTGTCTTCCGGCCGACGTGCTTCTGCCACGGGCACGGAGGCCAGGCCTGAGGCCAGGTGTGGGGGCTCCGTGAGGTACCTGACCTGGAGTGGAGCAAAACCCTCGCCCTCCTGCCCCCAAGGGGGCCAAGACTTAGGACGGTTTCAGCTGGGAGGTCTTTGGGCGATGCTGTTTGTCAGAATCCATCTCTTCAACCTGCTGAGTGAGCATGCGGCCCTCAGGGAGCTGCCCGCGCCCCGTCCCAGGGGCCCCACCCCGGGCCCACCCCGCAGCCACCCGCTCGCTCCAGGCCTGTGGCCAGGTGTGCACACGGGTGCAGTCCATGTGCTAACGGAGGTGAGGCGGGCCGGGACGGAGGCTCTCGCCCATCGCCCGCACGTCCGCCTGCACGGTCTCCGGGTACACCCGCTCTCTCGCGGGGCCCGCCCCCCCGGCGCCTCTGCTAGAACCCGATGAGGCCCCGCCAGGCCCAGGGACCACGTCTGGAAGGAGCTCCCAGCCTTCCCGCTTCTCAGCGTCAGCGCCGAAGACGGCGAGGGCTCTCAGCCCGGGGTCCACCCTGGGACCCTTAATAACGCTGGAGGCTGAGCAGGTGCCGCTTGGGACACGGCCGCCGGGAGCCAGCAAATCTCCCCCGAGAGGGCGGCCCTGGGGCAGGGCACAGCAGGTCCCTGGCCCCGGGTCGGTGACAAGGGCAGGTCACGGCCTCTGGGAGACGCCCTCTCTGGACACCGGTGTTGGGCAGCCTGGCTGGGAGGGGCTGGGGGGCCCTGGGGGCTTGGGGAGAGTGTCCATCGTGACTTGAGTGATCTGGGCCAGGGGCCCAGGCGCATCTGTGTCCCTGGTCCACGCAGGTCCTTGACCTCAGGCCGAAAGGGCTCTGGTGCCTCTGAAACGAGCATGGAGCCTGGACGAAGGAAGACCACGTGGAGAGAGCGGGTGGCGGGTGGGGGTCCACGTCTGAGGCGTGTCGTCTCCCGGGACGATGGTGATGGCAGGTCCAGGGCAGACGCTCTCGGGGCAGGGACGTGCCGACAGGTCCTTGGCGAGCTTTTCCCGAGCAGAGAGAGGCCGCGAGGCCCGCCTCTTCCTGGATGGCGGTTCCTGGATGGCGGTTCCTGGATGGCGGTCCACACGGGCCTGCGTCCCTCCGGGGGTCACAGGCGGCCCACTCCCAGTCTGGGGCCGCGGCGGCTGCTGGGACTCAAACACGAGCTTCCAGGGCTACGGGGCTTCCTTCCCCGGGGACTCTTCCCACGGGCTCCTGGGACTCCCTCGAGCTGCTCTCGGCTCCGAACGTCCAAGTGACCACGGCAACAGCGACCACAGAAGGAACCCGCCGGGCCGTGCGGCTCATCCGAGCCCCGGGAGCCGGACTGCTAGGCGGGTGCGGCCGGGACCTCAGTTTCAACGGAGCCACGGTGACCTGAGGGCCTGGACGGGACCCCCCACCCTCCAGGTGCCGCCTCAGGGGACAGATTGGCCAGGGCTCACCCCACTGCACAAACTCAAACAGGTCCCGGCTCGCAGCCCGCAGAGGCCCGAGCTGGCCCACTGGGTGTAGCCACGGTTTCACAAGCCACAGGGAGGGCCGGTGGTTCTCAGCCGGGGGCACTTTGGACAACTAGGGGTGATTTTTGCCCCCTTCGCCCCCTCCCGACACCTGGAAATTTCTGGAGACATGACTGTCTGCCATGACGGGGGGGGGGGGCGATCCCTGGCATCTCATGATGAGATGCTTACCACACATCTTGCGGCGCACAGGGCAGCCCCTTACCCGCCCCACGGCACGGAATTATCTGGCACAAAACGTCGATAGTGCTGGGGTTGAGAAACCCTGGCTTAACCCTCATGCTGGCAATGGATTTCTGATTTTTACTATGGGAAAAAAAAATGACAGGACAAACTAAGGGGAAAAAAAATCCAACTGAAAAAAAGAAAAAGAAAAAAAAAAGAAAACAAATTTCTGGGAGATGAGAAAGCCGGGGGGAGGCAGTGCTGCTGGTGGGCAGGTGTGCGACGGTCACGGGCGGGCTCTCAGGAGCGGGGCCCAGAGCCGGCCGCGAGGTGAGGCCGGGGGCCGGGGGGCCGGGGGAGGCCCTGCGCAGGGCGGGGGAGCCGGGGGGCCGGGGGAGGCTCTGCGCAGGGCGGGGGCCACGTGCCCCCTGGGACAACACCCGGTCACCTCTGGTCTCCCAGGAGACCTGCCTGTGGAGACGGGACTGGGGGCTCCAGGGACTGCCGCTCCGGGCGGCTGGCCCAGCCCCCAGGGGGCCTGGCCGGACAGGGGCTGAGGCCCCGGGAAGTCTGGGAGGCTTGAGGGCGCTGCTTGCTTGGGGGCTACGAGGCTGGCAGCGAATAAACACACACGAAACAGAATCAATAACGAAAACCACACTCCTGCCAGTGTGACCTCTGCTTCCGGGCCGGCTGGGGGCCCGGGCTTCCCAGGGAGGGAGACCCCTGCGAGGGAAACGAGACCAGGGACGGGGGGGGGGTGGTCTCCAGACACAGTTCCGAGGGCTTCACTCCATTTCATTCATCAGCATAAAACACAGGACGCGGCAGCACAGAGGACAGGGCGCGGCTCGCGCGGTGAGAGCAGCTGCCGGGACACAGACGCGGGGGGAGCACAGCCCGGACGCACGGGGACATGGGGGCGGCCTCCTGGCTGCTCTGCCTTGACACCTGGTGACACCTGGGTCCTGCTTCCCGTGGCCTTTGGGCCCCCCCCCCGCAGGGTCGCCCGCTGCTGCGGTCCGGGGACGGCCGCGGAGGCCCTACAGCGCTCCGGCCCAGCCCAGCACGTGCCCTGGCGGCCCGGCCCGAGTCCCGCCCGCGCTGGGCCGGAAGGGGGTCCCGGCCCGGCTCTTACCCGCCTCGGAGAGGTCCCGCAAGGAGCTGCTGAGGGCGCTGCGCTTGAGGCCCTCGCCGCCGGCGTAGCTGTCGTCCAGGCAGGCCCGGCTCAGCGTCCCGTTGCCGGGCTCCGTTTTGAGGCTGGAGCACTGGGACATGCTGGGCCGCACGACGCCCTTCTGCTTCTCGAGCTCCGCTGGAACAGAGGCGGCGAGCGGCCCGTGAGAAGCACACAGCCTTGAGGGCGCCCCCCCCCCCCCGCGCAGGCCTGGCCTTGCGCCCAGTGGCCGTCGGTGGGGCCTGGGCAGAGGTCAGGGCTCAGGCTGTCTCGGGAAAGGAAGGGAAGGTGTGAATGCCGCCTGCGCAAAGGGAGGCAGGAGACGGGACGGGAGGCTGGCGGTGGGGCCTCGGGGTCGCAGGAGAGACGGCACCTGCAGCCTTGAGGGCCGGCAAGGAGGCCAACGGGCCTGGGTCCGTGGGCGAGCAAGGGCTGCCCGGCCCCGCCCTGGGCGGGGCCCGAAGGTGAGGACAGTCGCGTGTCTCGGGGAGCGAGGCTTGGAGCCAGGAGAGGAAAGATGGCAGTCAGCCCCCCCCACCCCACACCACCTCCTACAGCCTGGGTAGGAGGGCCGCCTGGTCACAGGGCTGCGGGGGCCCCGGGGCCGCCTCCCCCCCCCCCCGGGCCGCCGCCCCCCCCCCCCCGGGGCCCCCGCCCCCCCCCCGCCCCCCCCCGGGCCGGGGCCTCACACTCTATCCGGTGTTTCTCCATCTCCTGCACTTCCGCGATGGACTCCCGCAGGTCGTCGGTGAACTTCTTCCGGTCTTGAGGGTTGGGAGCGTTAAAGTTGATTAACACCTTGATGTCTGCTCCGGGGACAGCGGAGGTGAGCCGGATGCCGTTGGGGTAGTCTGCAGAGGAGGCGGGGGGAGGAGACCCGTGGGTGCCTGGGTGCTGTCTGCACACTCCCTGCTGGTCTCGAAAATACTCAGAAGCCTAAGAGCCCAGGCTGTCAGCAGACAAGTCCCACCAGGGAGGAAAGCGCCCACGGGCAGACGGGGGGGTGGGCAGGAGATGCCCATCCCCGGACTTGGGTCTGTGTTGTTCCATCCGTAGGTCTGGGGTGGATCTGGCCAATCTGAACAGAGGTCAGGGCCCCCATTCTTCCTCAGCCGGAAGGTCATGGAGGCTGGACCTTCAATTCAGGGTCTTTGGTCATTGCCTGGAGCTCGAGAATGGCCAGGGGTGGAGTCCAGGAGTCAGAGTCCTGTGCTGGGTGGGGGGGTCTTCTCCGGTCTCCCTGCACAACCCTGAGGGTACACTGAGCTCTGCTCTCTCACAAGTGGCCTCCAGACCCTCAGTCCCTTGGATGCATCATGGGCGCCCCCCACGCAACGCACTCTATGCTGAGTGCAGGGTTTTTCTGGCCTGCGGCCTGTCTGGTGCCACCTCTGGGCTCACAGGCTCTCTGTGGCTTTGGGCCCCTGGTAGCGCCTCGCTCCTCGGCGGGAATCACACACCAACCACTGGGTGTTTGCAGTTCTTGGACCAAACACCAGTCCCACCTTTGCTCAGGCCCAGGTCAAGGCTGGGAACTCAGATGCCTAGAGGACCGAGTGTGTCCCCTTAAGTGGAGGAAGCAAAGCACATGAGACGGAGCAACAGAACGAGAGAGGAGGGGTGTGCAGCCCGTGACCACCACGCGGGGTGCAGGCCCGGCAATGCCAGACCGGCTCTGTTTTCAAGAAAAGTAAAAAATATCTAAAATTTTAATAATTTTGTTTTTTAATGAAAAAGTTTTTAAATTTTTAAAAAACTGTTCATTTATTTTTGAGAGAGAGAGTGAGCGAGCGAGCAGGGGAGGAGCAGAGAAAGAAGATACAGAGTCCAGGGCAGCTCCAGGCTCTGAGCCGTCAGCACAGAGCCCGACGCGGGGCTCGAACTCATGAATTGCGGGATCGTGACCTGAGCCAAAGTTGGATGCTTAACCGACGGAGCCACCCAGGCGCCCCCAAAGTTCAGTAAGTTTAGATATTAAGTATCAGCTCAACAAATTTTTAAAAGTGTGTAAACCCAACGTAACGTGACTGGGCTGCGCGTGACCCACAGTTCCCGCTGTGAGACCCTGGTATGAAGTCACGTCCCGTAGAAACGTCAGAGTCGCATCTTGGGCTCGTGCCAGGCCCTCCGCTCAGGACTGAGCCCCACGCCTCCCCCCTGCCCCACTGCCTCCTGTTTGCGCATCACCTGTGCCGTTTACTTGGTGTCTCCGGGCACATTTTATGGGCGTAAATTCACTCTGCTCTGAATTTACAAAGGTCTGGCGACCGCTGAGAAGCAACGGCCGGGGGCAGGCGAGCGCCAGCACGTTCGTGACCGCGCTTCCCAGGTACCGGTGCTGTCACACCCGGGCCTGGCCGGCGCTCCGCGGGGGAAGCAGGGATCCCAGAGCCGCCCGTCCTTAGGGAGCCAGGCAGGGGGGCCCTGGGAGCGCGCACTTCCCGACACGGGCGAGAGTCCCGACACGGGCGAGAGTCCCGACACCAAGGCGCGGCGCACGGCCACGCGCGGACCGGAGCGCCAGCGCCCAGCACACACTCACACTGGTTCTCGAAGAGCAGGACTTGCATGCCGTACAGTGAGAAGGACTGCCGGAAGCTGTACGTCACCGAGTTCTTCTTTTTCTGGAAAATCTTGGTCACCTGGGGGCAGCCAGAGACAGAGGCTGAGTCGCGTCGCCTGCACCACCCGGGGGCAGCTCTGGGGGCCCAGGATTCTAAACGCGTCCCAGCTGTCCTGGCTGGCAGGGACACCCCTCGACCCTGAGGGCGCCAGGCCAGGCTCTGACACCCGGACCCTGGCTGAGCTCTGTGACTGCCTGAAAGCCTTGGAGGAGGGAACAGAGGCTCAGGAGTCTGACGCGACCTGCTTCGGGTCAGGGGCTCTTGACAAAGGCCTGAAACCCACAGGCCCAGACTCCAGCCTCAGCAGTCAGCAGGCAGGCGGGGGCCGGGGCCGAGGGCCTCTGGTGAGAAAGCCCGTGGCACGCGGGGGGCGAGACCCAGGCGACGGGTTCTCCCTGCTGTCTCCGGGGCGTCTCTACCCCCAGGGGCCAGGCCCCTGCCACCTTTCCCTGGGCAAGAGCTCCGCAGGCCCCTCTGGGGCCCCCGTCAGCCCAGCAGGCCCGGGGCTGTGCAGTGACCCAGGCAGCCAGCGAGGCAGCACCGCACCCGCCAGGCCCCTGTGAGCAGCGCGGGCGCAGGCGGCACTGGGACCCCCGCTCAGGCTCCCACGAACAAAACCCCCCAGGTGGCCGGGACGCAGGGAGGGGGCGGGATGAGGCCTGCGGCTGCCTGACTTTCCCTTCGCGGACGGACGCTGCCGGGGCCTCTAGAAATAGTTGGGGCTGAAGCCCCACCTCCCCCTCTGGGCCTTCACACGAGCCGATGAGGCCGTTTCCATCGGCAGCGCTGGGGGTTGGTCTCGGCCTCTCGGCACCCAAGAGCGTGGGGCTCACTGCACCCCCGCCCCCTCCACCCCACGCACGTGCAGGCGCGCAGGCCGGACGGGGTGCGGAGCTGCGGCTCAAGGCCTTTCCGAGCCCCGGGGTCCCCACCACGGCACGCTCCGGGCAACCACATACCACCAGGAGGTCGTTAAACAGGAAGATTTCTCGCTGGTGCAGCCCGAGCTTCTGGGGCTTGTTCGGATCCGGAACCTCAAAGAGTCGACAGTAGCAGACCAGCCGCCGGTGGGGCAGAGAGAGCACCTGTCGGGGAGGCAGCGTGCGGTCAGCCCCGCCCCCCGCCCCCCGCCCAGCCTGCGTGCTGGGCAGCGGCCTGGGGGCCTCCGGCGGCTGCGCACAGTGTGTCTGCACTGACGCACTGGTCCCCGCTGTCTGTCAGGAACCCTCCCGAAGGGCCGTGGGAAGCGCCCCGGCCTCCCCGACACCTCCCTTCCCTTCAGGCAGGTCCCGGACTTCTTAGAGCATCACGCTCCCGTGGAAGCCCCCACAGCGAGGAAGTCATGATTCCTGAGCCCCCCGTCAGGCCCTGCAAAGGTTTCTCCAGAGGATCTACTCGCGAGGAGGGTACTGAGGCACAGAGAGAGCGAGCCACTTGCCTCAGCCACACAGCTGGGAAGGTGCGGGGCTGAGGGCGGATTCCGGGCCCCTCCTAAAGAATCCCATGGTTCTGGCGGCTGGAAGACCCTGCCTCGGGCCTGGGCCAGCTGCCACCCCTCTGGCTGGCGCGCTCCAGGAGCAGCACCGTTTGGAACCAAAGCGCGCAGCGGGGAGGGTGGTGGGAGGCGGGCAAGGGCCGCTCACCCGGGGGTCTCCCTCTAGGCACAGCTGGGAACAGCGAGTGGGGAGCAGACAGGCCTGCCCGTGACCGACACAGAAGGAAAGGGCGCGTGACGGCGAGGCTAACCACGCGAATGTGCGCCCGTGGGGCGAGCAGGCAGGCTCGCTGCAGGCGGTGACGGTGGAGTGGGGGGGGCAGAGGGCGGGCGGGGGCCCTGCAATGCCCATCAGCATCGTCTGCTTCGGGCCGGGCGCCTCTGGGTCTGAGGACCACCTCCATGAGGCAGGGACGCCATCCGCGCTCCCTCCCTCCCCAGGCGGAGAGGAGAACTTGGTTCTCATCGCTGCAGAAATCACCTCAGGAGGCCGCAACTGTGGAGCTGGGGCCCAGGGGATGCAGGGAGGTGAATGCAGGGCACGGTGCACCCCCCCCCCCCGGTTGGATATCACCCAGAATGTAGAAGCAGAGAGATACTCACACAGCCAAGCCCGTGATGCAAGGATCCAATCTATGCGGGAAACATCAAACAACAAAAAAAAGACGTTAATGATCGCGAGGAGGTGCCTGGGGCCCGAGGGAGCTAATGAGGTGACGTCTAAGTAGGCACACACCCCTCCAGACGCACATTCCCACAGCCTCTGTCCAGACGTACCCGACTTGGCTCGGGGGACCTCATCGGCCAGAACTCGGACAGGCCACCAAGGGCCCCCTGCACAACTCGGGCTGTCGGCTTCTTAAGAGCCTCAAGCTCTCTTTAAATACAACCCAGAGCCAGTGGTTGTTACCCCCAAACATCAGAGGCCACCCTAAACCTAAAGGAATCCCCACCACCACCACCCTGCTCCGAAGGAGCCAGGTTGCAAATGGCATCAGGGCCCTGGTCCGAAGCTGATGCCAGTGCGGGCAGGCCTGGGGTGCAGGGGGTGGGGGTGGGGGTGGGGGTGGGGGTGGGTGGGAGGGAGGGGGCCAGGGAGGTTGGCCGCCACGTACCGGCTTCTTCCCTACGATGAGCTTCTCCACCTTCTGCACCTGGGACACGTGGTCCTCGTTGGTTTTCAGCTCCCGCTTGCGAATGCGCTCGTAGATGCCGATCAGCATCTCCCGGGGAATGTCCTCACCGTCGTCCACGCCTGGGCAGGGGACAGCAGCCGGGCGTCGGGGCGGGCCAGGGGCTGGCTGGCTGTGGCGCCGCTCAGCTCCGGGGCCCCGCACTCGCCCCTCATGTGCCAGTCTCTAAACCCAATCAGAGTGTTGCTCCCTCTCACCCGTCCTAGAACCAAAGACCTCCAGACCCGCAGCCCTGAGCGCCTCCCGCCAGGGCCAGGCCGGCACATGGGCCCATGCCACCTTCCAGCCAGGCTCCGAGGGCGGCCCCGCCGGGTGGGTGTAACCGTCTCCACTCTGCAGCGGGGAAAGCGAGGCTCGGGGAAGGGCCCAGGGCTGGAGGAGGCTGCGAGGCTGGTTGTGGGTTCAGGCTCCCACAGGCGTGGGCCCAAGGTCTTGCTTTGCCCCTCCCTAGCCGTGTGGCCGAGGCTGAGCTGGGGTCCTCTGTGAAGCGGGTCACCAGGGGCACCGGCGACTCCATGCAGATGCCGTGAAGAAGACAGGGCAGCCCTGGTGCGCCCGGGCCGCGCCCGCAGCCCGTCCCCTGCCACGTGCGCAGAAGCTGGGGTCTGGCCTTGAAGCCGGGACGTTCTGACGGCAGGCGTGCACCCTTTCCGCGGAGCCCTGAGAAACTGCTGCGAGGAAAACTCGGCCCCACTCACGAGAGAATCCCACACACCCGCCAGGAAAGTGAGGAAGGCCTCGGGGACCGGCATGGGCGCTGTCTCTTAGATTCGTTACATGCGGAAAAGACGGTGCCACCGGATGAGGCTAAAACCAGCCGTGCGTGTCTGTACTTGAGCAGAGGAGCTCTGGGCGGTTCACGGGGACTGAACCATGAGGGGGCGTGGCCCGGGCACACAGGTAGGTGTGGCAGGGGCTCTGCTACGGACCCTTCATACTTCTTTTTTTGAAATTTTTTAATTTTAGAGAGAGGGAGGGAGGGAGGGAGAGTGGCGGAGGGGCAGAGAAGAGAGAGAGCGAGCGAGCGAGCATCTTAAGCAGGCTCCACGCTCAGTGCGGAGCTGGACACAGGGCTCAGTCCCATGATCCTGAGCAGAAGTCAAGAGTCGGACGCTCAACTGACTGAGCCCCGCAGACGCCCTGTGCGTTTTTTTTTTTTAAAAGACAGACTATTTTTTTAGAACTGTGTTTTAGAGCAATTAAGTTCACAGCAAAACTGAAGGGAAAGCACAGAGACTTCCCCACGCACCGACCCCCCCGCGGCAGAGTGCTCGATTTACCACGGCCAGTGAGGCCACGCAGACACTGTCATACCCGGAGTCCGTATTCACACTGGGGTCCCTCTTGGGGTTGCGGCTTCGATAATAAATGGTTAATGGCACGTGCACCCACCGCGACCGAGTCAGGTGGGAAGCGCCACCGCCCTGAAGCTCCCCCGTGCCCCCCGCCTCCTCCCTCCTCCCCCCACCCCCGGCCAGCCCTGGCCGCTTGCGTCTCCATGGTTGTGGCTGGACTCCCACGGTGTGCGGCCTTTCCAGACTGGCTTCCTCCACCGGGAGGGTGCATTTTAAGCTCCCTCCCCACCATCTCACGGCTCGGTAGCTTGTTTCTCCCTAGGGCTCAGTAACATCCCCTTGTCTGGATGGACCACAGCTTAGTATCGGTTCCCCCGCTGAAGGACACCTCGCTGCCTCCAAGCTTCGGCAACAATGAGTAGGGCTTCTGTGAATACCCTGTGCGGGTGTCTGTGTGGACGTACTGGCTGTTCAGTGCCTTTGGGTAAATACCAAGGAACGTGACTGTTAGCTTGTATTACTCTCTGTGAGGAGATGGGGCGCCCGGGGGGCTCGGTCAGTTGAGCGCCCGACTTCGGCTCAGGTCATGATCTCACGGTTCGTGGGTTCGAGCCCCATGTCGGGCTCTGGGCTGGCAGCTCGGAGCCTGGAGCTGCTTCGGATTCTGTGCCTCCCTCTCTCTCTGACCCTCCCCTGCTCATGTTCTGTCTCTCTCTCAAAAATAAACAAACATTAAAAGAAATTAAACTGTGTGAGGATAATACCCATTCAAAATAAATCAATCTAGAAAACATAAAAACAAAGCTCAGTGAAGGAAAAGCACTGGTTGTCCGGCCGCCATGCTGGGGAGCTATCCCTCCCGGACCCACCCTCCCACCCCGCAGAGTGGGGACGCCTGACCAGGGGAAGCAGAGTGAGCGGTTCTGGGGAAAGTGTACTCAGTGTGCGCAGGCAGCGGGGGGAGGTTTCCTCTGCACAGAACGGGCTGGACGTCTGCCCAGTGCGGAGCAGCAGCAAGGCTGTGGGAGGCCAGAGCCCCGCCCCCACGGACATGACCTTGGGGAAATCCCTTCCCTCTGCCTGGCTACCCCTTGGGAACACAAGGAAAGCAGGACAGAACGCTCCCGAGTTCCCGGCTTGAAAAGATGGGGTTTGGGGGGCACGGCCCAGGCTTGGGAGACAGCCGACAGCTTGACCCCGAGAAGTGGGATGCTATCTCCCCCAGGGTGCAGGGGCGGACACAGACAGCAAGGCCCCTGATGTGGGGGCGGCCGACGGCAGTATCTGACTGAGCGACCCTTCCTTCCCCAAGCCCCTCGCCTCTGGGCTAATCATTTCAGGGCTCCCCTGGGACAGGGGAGTCCCAGCTACGTGGGTGAGGTCTAAAGGCAGGAAAAAAATAGCACAGAGTGAAGTCAGAGACCTTTAAACTCCCCTGGGGTCACCACCAGCACGGAGCGCACGGCCTGCTTTCTGGCCGGCGAGGGAGTACAGGCCTCCACGCTGCGGCCGCGGGGGACCCCGTGGAGACCAGAATCGGGCTCGGCCCGGGAGGGGACAGGTCTAGGGCACCTCCTCTGCCCGTCAAAGCACCTGCTGGCTGCTCTCTTGCGTTCTCGTGCTGACTTGCCGTTGAGAAAATTCCCAGGCCCCCTGGCCTCCCTGGGACTGTAGCTAAGACCTGGATCCCTTGGGGCCCCCGCACCCCTGAGGCCTGGCAGAGGGCCGCACACCGGAGTGCTCAGGGCAGGACCAAGCTCCGGCCCCTTGGCTTCCCTGACCCATCAGGTCCCGGAGCCCAGCTGGGAAAAGGGGGCCCCTCGGCCATCCCGGACGGGCACCCCGTTAGCTGGCCTGGCGCAGGGGTGCCCACCACCAGGGGGCGCACCGGGACAGCTCGAATGCCGGGAGGGCCCTCAAGCCCCAGGAAAGGGGCCACCGCAGCGGCTTTACAGGACACTGACCCGGCTGCACAGCTGGCCCTGGTTCAGACCAGCGTTTTGCCTTTTCTAAGACACACGCCCCCCTTCTAAGGGCCCTCGGCCTGCTGCAGCCTGCTGTCCCCAAGGAGAGGGACGGAGTCCCTCCCTTCCTTCCGGGGACTCCAGGTCACGCTGTCAGCCAGCGCGACACCGTCCCCCGTCTCCCGGTCAGTCCCTTTCCTCTGCGGCGACACCAGGCAGGCCTCCTTCCCGCCCCCTGACACTGGCATCTGTCTAACGGGCCACTCGCCTCGGCCTGGTGTTTTCATCCACTGAATTCACTTTCGTAACGGCTGCCTACGTGCGGCAAATGACATGGTCTTCCTGCTTAGTGATGTTATAAGGTTCCTCCACAAAACACACACAAAAGGCAACTCAGGGGGTGCCTGGGGGGCTCAGTCGGCGAAGCGGCCGACGTCGGTTCAGGTCACGATCTCGCGGTTTGTGGGTTCGAGCCCCGTGTCGGGCTCTGTGCTGACAGCTCGGAGCCTGGAGCCTGTTTCAGAGTCTGCGTCTCCCTCTCTCTCTGCCCCTCCCTCCTGCTCACACTCTGTCTCTCAAAGTAAAATGATGGCATAAAAAAATTATGAAAATAAATAAAAATAAAAGTCAAGTCGGTTTCGTGAGGACCACGGCGTGCAGGAGGGTGCGCATGGTGATGGCCGCAGGGCGTGCCTGCCCCCCCCGCCCGGGCCCCCCGCCCGAGCCCCCCGCCCCCGGGTCCCAGCTGTGCTCCCTCACATCCCCCCATCGCCTCCGCGGACCGCGTGGGGCCCGGCCTGCCGCCTGCTAAGTCCCCGTGCATCTGTCTGGAAGAAGCTAAAGCCACCAGGCCCGGGGACCCAGGTGTGGGCCGCTCGGTCACGCTCGCCCCGTGGCTGTCGCCCGAGGGGGCCAGCAGTCCGTCCGCTTCAGCACGTCACGGGCGTCCGTGGAGCCGGCGCCGGCCCCAGGCCCCCGCGAGCCACGGCTGGGTCAGGGGGCCGGGCGCCCGGCGGGGCGTGGGCTCCGGGGGTGGCGGGCGGGCGGGCGGCGCCCAGGCCCCGGGCAGCTCACCTCGCAGGTTCTTGATGAAGTCGTCCAGCTTCATCTTCCGCTCGGCTTTGACGTTGGGGCTGTACATGTCTGTGTTGAGCAGGATGATGGCAAAGGCCAGGATGAAGATGGTGTCCGGGTTCCGGAACTGCCGAACCACCCCCGGGTTGCAGATGCAGTACCGCTGGCTGGGGGCCGCGAGAGGGAGCAGGTCAGGGCCGCTTCCGGCAGGGCAGCAGCGCGTCTGTCCCGCACCCACGGAGCCGCCGCCGCCTGGGCCCCGGCTCCAGATGGCTGGGGCCGGCCGCCGCCTGTGAGCCTCGGCTTCTGCGCCCGCCAGGCAGAGCGCTGCTCCCTCCACGCTCTCCTTCTCACCCGGGTTCTGGCGCCCCCCCCCCCCCCCGTGACCTCAGGGAGAGCTGGGTGACGGGGCAGATCGGAGAGGAGGAGCCCCGGGGTTCACACCGTTAGTGCCGCCGCCTCCAAGATGCCCTCCTGGACGGCAGGGCCCCAGAACTGCCCTCCCACGGTGCCCTCGTCACCCACCTGGGCCCCACGAGTGGTACTGAGCCCAGAGGGCTGGGTCAGCGGCCGACTCCTGCGTCCCGTGTCCCGCGAGGGCACAGAGGGCCCTACCCAGTGACTGTGCACACGGCCCCAGGATGAACGACCGTGGCTCTGTCGTGCCGGGCACTGGGCGCACTGCGCCCACACGTCCAGGGCAGGCGTTTCCGTTATCCCCTCTCCGGGCAAGGCCGGGAGGCACAGAGACGTGCAGCGGCCGGGGCAAAGTCACACAGCCGGTAGGTGGCGGAGCGGGCGCCAGAGCCGGGCCATCGGGCCCGCGTGTGGCACCGGCCGCCCTCCGCGAGTGGGCAGACGTGGGGACACGGACTCGAGCACGAGGCAGGCTCGGGGCGGCCGGCTGCCTCCGGGGACGCCAGCCCAGCCGCCGCGCGCGGGCGGGCCCAGGGCCCTTCCTCCCCACCCCGCCCGCGCCCCGCGCCCAACCTGAAGGCCTCGACGAGCCGCTCCACCTTCTGCGCCTCGCCCTGCACGCGGATGTGCGCCTGGAACCTGCGCAGCGCCTCGTCCAGCTCCACGGCGGCGAAGTCCATCTCGTCCACCACGCAGCTGCGGACACGGGGGCGTCAGCGGCCGCGGCGCCCGCCGCCCTGTGTCTCGGCGCTTGTATCTGGGTAATTTCTCGCCTTTTTTTTTACTTTTTGAGGGAGACAGAGACGGCGGGGGCGGGGCAGAGCGAGAGGCAGGGAGGGCGGGGCAAGCAGGCGCGTGCTGCCAGCGCAGAGCCCACGTGGGGGCCGAGCTACGGAACTGCAGGGTCGTGACCCGAGATGAGGTCAAGAGGGAGCTTAGCCGACCCCCGCCCCGTGCGCGTGTGGCTTTCCAGAGGAGCCGGGGCGAAAGGCTGCTCCTGATAGAGGCCGGGGCGCGGGGGGCGCGGGGGGCGCGGGGCGGGGAGCGGGGGGCGGGGGGCACGGGGCGGGGCGCGGGGGGCGCCGGCCGGAGCTACTGCGCTGCTCTTCCCGCTGGCCCTGAAGGCCGCCGGGAGGCCGCGGAGGCCCGGGGCGCTAACGTGCCAGGCAGCGGCTCTGCCCGGAGCCTCCCGCCAGGTCCAGGGTTTGGGGAGAGGTGCGGGGGTTCGCACCTCGTAGAGCCACGTGGAGGCCGGGCTGGCAGAGGCGGCTGTAACCGTATTTGGTTCATCCCGCCCGCCCCAGCCCTGCCCCCCAGCAAGGGCGCCCAGCTGGGAAGGCGGGGTCTGCGCCAGGGGCGCGCCCCTCGTGCAACAAAGCCACGGCCACCCCCTGGGGCTGCAGAGGCCTCGGCGGGGGGGGGGCCCTGCCTCCGCTGGGTGCCACGGGCTTGGGCATAAGCTGTGTTGCCCCCAACCGTGTCCGAGTGCGCACGGCTCTGGGGGTGGCCTCCTCGGGGCGGGGGCAGCGCGGCGGGGGGAGGGCAGGGGCCACGCGGTGACGTGCTGACAGCATCTGAGCTGGACGCGGTAGAGGGGTGGGGGTGGGCACGGACTGCTACTTCCTGAGGCTGCTATTTTCTGATGGGGGAGAACAATGCCCGGATTTCCCACGGACCAGCGGCTAGCCCGGGGGTGTGAGCGGGGGCCGCAGGGGCGGCTGCAGGGCTGGGGGGCCCCATCTGCTTTCTCCCGCCTGATCCCGGAGGCTGGGGTGGAGGAGGCGAGGGGCCCTGGCAGGCTAACGACACAGCAGGCTGTTCCTGACGGGAACAGAAATGCCAAGTGGGGAGAAAGCAGCGCTGGCGGGCATGCCCTGTGCCAGTGAGAGCCGGCTGCCGCCAAGGCCTGGCTCCCTGCATCCTGGGCGCCTGTGTGTATAGACGGGTGTACGTGGGACTGAATGGGTACCTACGGGGGTGTGGGGAGCCCCTCCTTGAGCCGAGGAGGCGCCCCGGGCAGGTGCCCGCCTCCTGCAGGGACCCGTAGAGATGGCTGGCACACACACGGCCAGGCTCCTCCTTACTGCAGGGACGCCTGGCCCCAGAGGCCCGCGTCGCCCCCCCTGCTTTGTTCTTTCCACGGGGCAGGGCTGCAGGGGCGCAGGGCGCTGCCGTGTTCCCGATGGTGCGCCCCTTACCCTGCTCTGCTTTCTGCGCCCGGTCTACATCTCCCGCAGCTGCCTGGTCAGGAGCAGGCCTGGAGCTGGTCCCCCAGGCCCTGAGCCCCCCTGTTCCGTGTACGCTGCAGCCCCGAGCCCCCGAGCCCCCCAGCCCCCCGCGCAAGGGGGAGACGCAGGGCTCGTACACAGCAACGGCCCGACCAGAAACCCACGGGTCCGGGCGCAGGGTGCCTGTGAACTGAGGGCCGTCTCAAGGACGGATGGAGAGGTTTGGGGTACAGGCTTCTCAAAACCGTCAGCAGTTTCCAGGGAGCTGGAAACCTGGTTTTGTGCAGAGTTGCAGGGAGCCGCGAGGGCCGTGGCTGGACTCCCCCGCAGCCAGGAGAGGCGGGAAAGACGCAGGGGCGGGAGGCCCGGGGTCTCTCTGGGTCCCCCTCCCCCACCCCGAGGGCGTGTGGGTTCAGCTGGCAGCCAGGCTCCAGCGGGGAGCCCCCACCTCCAGCCGGGGACCCCCAGCCCGGGCGCTGCAGCGGCTTGGCCCTGCCGGGAAGGGATGGAGGTGCCGAGGGTGTGAGTGAGGGGGCCCGTGGGCCCGTGTGTGAGACACGAGTGTGCAAGCGCATGTGTACGCGCAGCGTGTCACGTACGGCACCGTGTGGGGTGTCCGTGTGTCTCTGAGCCGCGCAGAGGGCAGGGGAGGATTCGGCGAAGCTGGCGACCCTGACGCTCCAGCAAGCAGGGGACTCTGCGGCTGCGTGCGCCCCCCGCCCCCCCGACTCACTCCAGCACGTCTCGGTTGAACTGCTTCTGCCGGTTGCCCAGGAACTCGCCGATCATCTGCCTGCTGAGGCCCTTGCGCTGCAGCAGGAAGTGGGCCACCCCCACTGGCGTGTCCGGCACGAAGCCACGTTCGATGAGGTACTGGACGCCCTTCTCAGGCTTCCTGGGGACGAGAGACAGGCTCAGCCCTGGCTGCCCAGCCCCCTCCTGGCTCGCCCCCCTCCTCCCTGGGCACCCGCGGTGCCCTGCCCTGTCCCTCCTGGAGCCCGCAGCGCGGGGGAGCCCGGAACTGCCCAGACCGTGCACCAGACGGGGGCTGGGACTGGGCCGTCGGCAAGAAGGCCGCGGGGGCTGAGCAGGGACCCTCCCCTTGCCCCCACCAGCCGGGGGGGCTGGAGTGCCCGCCCACCACCCACCTGGAGTGAACGGTCTCTAACACGTGCCGAGCACGTAGCCTGGGCACCAGTGTCTGAGCTCCCTACACACGCCTCTCACACCCCTCCCGTGGGGCAGGACTCTCGTCACCCGGGCTGTTTAGGAGCCCGAGGGCCCTGTGACCTCGCCAGGGGCCGCGACCACCCTTGTAAGGACTTCCTGAGTTAACAGTCAGGTGCCGGAGAGATCTGTGCAGGAAGCACGTGGAAGCACCAGCCCCAGCACACGGGAGAGGAGCGAAGCTGCGGCGTGACCCTTCCTGGGTGGAGTTTTCTGGGAAGGGCTGGGAGCCGCGGGGCCTGCCGGGCTGGGCTGGAGGGGCCCCGTACGCGCATGGCTGGCCTCTCAGGGCGGTGGGAGCCTCGGACGGGCCGGGGGGCTGTGCAACAGCCGCCGTGTCCCGGGCACCCGTGCGGGGGTGAGGTCGGCAGGGTTACTTGCCCACTAACTGGAGGGGGCCGCCCCCACCCCCGCCGCTGTCCCCCAGGAGCCTGGGGGTGAGAGCCGGTGTCCACCTGTCCCGTGCAGCTCGCGGCTGACGGCAGCGGGTACCGTACCTCCCCTGCCCGGGAGAGCAAACTTCGGCCGCAGGGTGACCTTGCTGTTTTTACACAGGATGGCCACTCGCCCTGACATCACCTTCGGGGGTTTGAGGGAGCAGCTGTTGGCCGGCCGGGCTCAGCACCGAAGGGGTGACAGCCCTGGGTCCCCCCTCTCCCACCCCTGCTGGGACGCCCCACCCCCCTCCACGTACCCCCTTCGTCCCCGTGACTCTGGGGTATCCAACCCAGACCTGCTCCCGTCAGGCCCCTCCAGCCACTCAGCTGCTCTCACGCTGTGGCCCAGGCTCCCGCGCTGCCCTGCCCCCTGCCAGCCCCCACAGGACCCCCGCCCTGTGCCAAGGGGTCTCCATGGCAAGCCTGCAGACGGGCTTTCTTTAGCTCACACGACATTAGTGGAAAGAATTCCAGCTAGTCGCCAGCATTCAGAAACTGGGAGAGCTCAGCACAGAATCCAGATTTCTGGCTTCTCTTGAAACGTCAGGCCGTCTGGCACTCCTGGGCCCGTGCTCCTGTGTGGCAATCACGGGTGGGGGGGCGGCACCTCCTCGCTCAGGCGCCCTGCACCGGCCGCCCGCCCGGTCCCCCGAGGCCCCAGTATGGGTCCAGAGCCAGCTGCAGCACGCCGGCATCACACAGCATGTCCGGCTGCCAAGATCTGGGTCCTCCAGCCGGGGAAGGAGCCGAATGCAGCGGGAAAGAGGGCTGCACTTCAGGAAGGAGGGTCTTACAAGGGGCCACGGGAAGCGGAGTCTTCGAAGATTAAGTACAGAGGGGCTACTCAGGATGACAGCAGTGAGCGGGGCTGGTCACGAATGAATGCCTCGCACAAAGAGGCTCTAACCCTTGGTCTAAAGGACAAAGGGGCTGAACGATGGCAGGAGGGCGTAGGGAGGGTCTCCTGCGGGTGAATCAGAGGTCTTCTCTGAGCAGGTGACACAGGGCACCTAAGTTATTAAGGAGCTTCCTAGGTGGAGGCAACAGTGTGTGCAAAGGCCCTGGGGTAGCCATGGGTTTTACAGGATTGAGGGCCAGGAAGCTGCCTGAGAGTGGCTGAGAGCAAGGGGCCTGAGGGGAGGGGAGAGAAGAGTAGCAGGGAGGGTGGGCCGGACCCCCCAGCACTGTGCAGGCCACGGGGGGAGTCTGGTTTTCCTCTGAGTGGGGTGAGAAGTCCTGGTGTGTGATGAATAGGGCAATGACGAGACCTGATGTCCGTGCTTGAGAAGCCCCCACTGTCTGCTCTGTAAAGAGCAAGGCTAGTTCCGAAGTGGGAGCCCAGTGAGGAGCCTCCCAGAGGCATCAGGCTACATGCGGGAGCAGCCAGCTTGAGGGCAGAGACGACAATATCTGCTGGCGGATCCGAGTTCGAACCCGAAGGCCCCAGCTCCTAGTCTGAACCAAATGTGGGAGGGACTGATTCCACCCGGCGGGCCTCACAGTGATGCTGCGGGAGGAAGGAATCTGAACGGACTGGCCTTGACCAGCACCCAGGAGCCCCGGGGTCAGGGTGAATGTGGCCGTCTGAAGAAGCCTCCGGAAGGGAGCTGGTGGAGGGTGCGGGCCAGGCCGGGAGCCCGGGGGTCGGGGTGAATGTGGCCGTCCGAGGAAGACTCTGGAGCAGCCTGGCCTTCAGCAACTTCCCTGACAGCACATGGCCCGTGCGTGGGGTGCCTGCTGATGGGAGCTCCCTGCCTGTCAGGGCTGTGCTGGCCCCGCCCACTTTGGCCGTGGGGTGAGGCCCCCGAGGGTGCTTTGGGGGCCCTGCTGGGCCGTGGTCCGACGCACCCGCTGCCTCACGCTGCTCCGCGCTGACTGAAAGGGCACGTGCTAAGCGTCACACGCAGTGACCCGCTGGGTGAAGGGACACAGGCGGAACGAGTCGCGAGGGCGCCGACCCACCTCCCTGCGGCAGCTAGGGGACCCCGTGACATGCTTCGGCCAACGCCTCAGTTCCCTCGTGGCGCCTTCTCTTGCCCCAGGAACCGGGAAGGACACTCCCGCCACCTTGTCCCTGAGAGACTTGGTGAGCGGGGCCCCGCGCCGGCCGGCGATGGACGCCGGTGCGCCAGGGAAATGAGCCTGTGCTGTGGCCGCACGTCAGGGCCCACCCGGACGGGCAGAGGCGGGTTCGTCCGAACGTGGGCCCCGGGGCACAGAGCATCCGCCCCGGGCGCGGGCGCAGTGTGGGGCCCTGGCTCCCTCCCCGGCTGCGGCTTCGCACTCCCTCCCTGCTAGGTGCCGGGGACTCCTGTCCGGAAGCCCAGGCTCTACAGCCCGAAGAGGGCGCAGCCTGGGGCTCACCTGGCTCCGAGGGTCCGGCAGGCGCCTGGCCCACGCTGAGCACGCCCAGCAGAGGAGGAACAAACGTGCCTCGGAGAAGGGCCGCCTCGGCCTGGGTCACCAGGACCCGATTTTCACCCCTTGCCGGGGGCCCCTAACGCCTGCAGAAGATCCGGTAGGCGCTCGGCCCCTGGCTTCCCCTCCCCAGTCATTCCACAAACAGTCACTGAGCACCTGCTCTGGGCCGGGGCTGTGCCAGCAGACCGTGGTCCAGGCAAAGTCCCCTTAAAAAACGCCCTGCTTGGAGTGAGACAAAGGAGGGAAACGGCTCCCCGGATACAGGCACGCTCACAGCCCAGGCGCCCAGGGCATGCCCTCCAGAGCCCGGAAGAGGGACCCAGGGAGCTGCGAGAGGAACGGCAAAGGCCAAGGCCTTGCTTGACTCGTAGCTGAAAGGGGGCACAGAAAGGTCAGGTAACTTGGCTCCGGGTTGCCAGGCGAGAGCGAGCATGGAGTTCCACCCACGTCTTTGCTCCGAGAAGCCCCCCGAGGTTTCCCTCCAACCTGCCCACCCCCCCTGCTGAAAATCCAGTCTCTCCACACGCCGAGCCTGCTTGCTTCGCGGAGGGCCCGGCGTCAACAGGCGCCGCTCTCGGCAGCTGTGCCGTCTACACCCGGCCTGCGGCCGCATTCCGGGCCCCCCCGCAAAGGGTCCTGGAGAGGCGTGCGCAGCACAGGCCGGGGGAGCCCACAGCTGGCCCTGCGGCTGCCCCCGGGCGGCCAGCTTCCCTCCACGTCAGCCGCTGACTCGGACCTGGCTGGGCAGCCCCTCCCCAGGCGTCTCCCGTCCCAGGGCTGCGAGCAGCCGGTGGTGACGCCAAGCTTGCGGAGTCCGGGGGCGTCGCACTCGGGATCACCCGCTTCCTGGGACCCAAAGCTAAGTGCTTTGCGGGCTCTCTTCCCAGCAGGGGTCTGCGGGGTCAACGACGGGCTTCTGTCGTTTCTAGTCCCTGGAGCCGCCCCAGAGGAATGGAAGCGCGCAGCCGTCCACACCTGCGGCCCGGCGCCTCACGGCCCCTGGAGGTGCCACCCCGCCCGCCCTCCCCTCACCCCGCGGGCCGACCTCACCCCCAGCCTGGCCAGTCCGCTCGGATTCCTGCTGACCGCGGCGTGAGCCGGCCGGAGCTGGCGAGGGACGAGAACCCCTCTGCCGGGGTGCCATGAGCCCGGGACCTCCTGCCCTGACGGGGCACCAGACGACTGGGGAAACGCAGAGTCCCCAGCGGCTTTTTCGGTCCAGAGCCCGTAAGGCCTCTTTGCTTCAACCAGTCTGATCGGGTTCCTGGCACTTGCAACAGAGACGGACAGAACCTCGATGAACAGAACGCAACACGCGGGTCTGTCCGCCTACAGCCCCCCGAGGATGCTCTGTGGCCACAGGGTCAAGTTCAGGACCCAGGCCACTCCTGCGCCTGTAAGCGCCCTTCAACTCGGCAATCCAGGCTCGGATGCCTCCAGCGTCCTACAACGAAGTGACCACTTTCCATCTACTCGCTTGCATACACTCAGGGCCGGCAAGCTCACCACCGTTTCAGACTGTATTTCATCCAGCTCTGATGTTTACAAAGTTCTTGCTGATGGTGGGAACCCAAGCTGAACGGGGCCTGCACTTATTACGGAGAGAAGGTGGAGCAGTTACTCTCCCGCGTGGCCGTGTGCCGTGGGGAGCTGGCCGGGGCACTGTTTTCTTCCCCGAGGGACTCAGCATAAGCCACCCTGTCCTCTGGACAGGGCTAGGGAGCTCTAGGGCCGTGAGGGCAGCGGGGGCCACGGGCTGGATGGGTAGCTCATGTCCAGGGTAACGGGACCCCAACCTCCTTCTCAGGAG